TACGGAGGAAATTTTGAAATCGAAAGATGTAATCGATACGAAATAAAGAGAAAGTACGCATTCGTTTTTATGGAAGCTTCCACAGTTTTTGATGACCTATATTCTGTTACCAATAATTGTACATTTAAATGACGATATATATTACTTACATTCTTCATTGCTATTATTTTCAACCCTTCTTGTTTGAAATTCAAGTAGACTTTGGAAATTCATAAACACACACAATTTGACAATTTCCGCAAAGAGACCATTATCTCGTACGAGTACGCAAACTTCAGTCAGTCTGATAATTGTTTATACAATCCCACCATTACCATTTTCCTTCGAAATGCCAGTTTTGATATTGACACAAGTAAATATTTTGATCGTGACTTCGTTCCCCTTAAACGTTTTGCTTATAAGAGACTATTTTCATATATAGGAAACCTCCCATCAAACCCCGATTACGAGGAAGGGATCATTTGATTTTGAAAACAAAGTTTAGCTGGCTACGGATAAAGAATAGTTTGCATTGAAGCCTGAAAATGTAACCGATTTCTCCAGCATAGCTTCTTTTAAAACGAACTTTTGTTTTATTAAGATAGAGGTGACGATTCTTTGCACGAGGGTTACAAAAAATATTCATAAAAATTTTCTGATAATCCAAAATTAGCCTACTATAAAATACCTGCATACATTGTCCATAACACGATTGTTTCTGGGCCAGTTTACACAAGAGCTCCTAAAATAAGAAGTGACGAGGTGATTAAACGAAATGTCCAAACAATTTGATGCAGGTCACGACACTATGCGATGAAAGGGAATCACTGCTATTTGTGAAGAAGCTCATCTGGGGGTGCCATCTCACTCACGTCTGATGATCTAAGAGTTGTAAGCAATGAAATCAGGAGATATTTACGCATTAGGACTTGTCTCAGAGTTAGTCAGTTTTAGCGAAAACCTACATGTTCTTTTGCTTTTCCAATTTTTCATTTTGATCTTTCAGCGTGTTTAAAATTTTCAAAATACATGCATCTTCCCCGATGAGTCACCGTCTGCTGTATTCACATTGAACTATTTCTTCACGGTAGCATCCGAAATTTCCAAACACTTGTCTAAAGTAAGTGGCGATGACGTAAAATATAACAATGCAAATTGAAAAATGTGTTTCGACAACAAAAACAAGAAATAAAACACTGTCATTTTATCATCAGTTAATTCATAAGTGAGTCAGAGAGCCATAAGTAAAGATTTATCACTCTCTTGACAGCCTTTTCACAAGACAAACGAGGCTTAGCAAACAATTCTCCTCAAGAATTAATATTCATCATACAAGCACGAATATTACATCACCACGAACATTATGGGGTGTGTACGGAACATTTAGGAATGCCTCAAACACTTTTACTCAAGAAAATAGCAAAGAAACTGTACGAAAACAATCTTCTTGAATCGTTTCGAGAACTTTCCATTAGCACAAAATAGTATTCTAAATAAAATTGAGTTGTTGGTTACGTTCATTCATATTTTATTTTCATTCAGTGCATGTATATTAACTTGGTTTAAATGTTCGTTCGTTATTACGTTCCATTCATTGCTTTATCTGAATAAAGGAATTCGTCTTATCATACCTGTAATACTGCAGTTTCATTGACTCAATCGGTTTCTTTGACGTCATTTTTAAACAAGTGTATGTTTATTGCGATATTATTTGTATTACACACCTGTTCTGTAATTACGGCTTTATCAATTTCTCATTTTCCGAACCCTACATACATAATTGAAAACTGCAACATTGTATTACAATGTACATTTTTACTTGACACTTTCATAAAATAGCATGACTTGGTTCAATACTCTGAAAGTATTTTGCTTCATAAAAATGCAGGTTTTAACTACCATGCCGTGCCTGCACTCCAAACTAACATGGCGGAATGCCTCACCTCATTCTTAAAATAGCTGTTCACACAACATTAGGTGAAAACAATAACCTCATTGATAAACTAGGAAGTGGTGGCGTGAGTAAATATAATAATGAGGGTTTAACTAAAAAATATACACAAACACTGAATAATTGAGTAATTGTGGCAATTTTGTGACTAAATTTAAGGTCGAATGTAGATACGGAAACGTACTTGTTTTAACTCCTTAGTTGTATGTATTGAAATACACGATGTTCTGCAGAAAGAATAGGCTCTATCTTGCAGAAATGATTAAGAAATTCCATCACAAAATAAGTAAATGAAAACATCACAGTCCATTTCCAAACAGAAATTCCTAAAACATAACATCAGTTGTAAAAAACAGCTTAAAAACGGATGTCAGTAACAGGACGGTCACAAACCTTCGCCCCTTACTTTCAAAGTAATGTCTCGAAATAAAAAACAAAAACAAATTCCCTTTTTTTATTTCGTCTCCTGAAGCATAACGCTAAATTTATTTGGCAAATTACGAGATCCAATTCAGTGAACAATTTGAAAAGGGGAGGCTCAAGTTTTATCTTTGAATATACATAATAACAATTGTTTTACCATATGCTTGTTTTATCAGAACGCTGTTCATTTTTTCGCTGTTGCTAACTGTTTTTACTTATCAGTTCGTTTGTGAATGGTAGTAAAAGTAGTGAGTGAATGGTGATATTTCTAGTGTCGTTTAGTAGGTGTAGTTGTTATCCTACTAAAGTTGTCAATGCGTACTTCCCTGAATCAAACAGCAAACCTTAACTATATAATTAGCCCAAATTCATTCATGAATCATTTCCTACATCACATCCCGACAAGGAAATCAATGATTCAACCGAATCCCCAAACAATTGGACCTAATCTCATTCCGAAATTGATTAATAAGTAATAACTAAATGTATTCGAAACCCATATTCAAGCTGAATTAAAATTTTCATCCCTAGATTCGTTAGGATCTCCCCTTAAGGAGTCGTTGATAAATATTCATAGAAGGACGAACCCCGTCAGCGAGTATTTCGCAAGGAGGAACGGCTAGGTAATAAATTCACAAGTTTAGCCTGATAAGGAAGGTACACGGATTGAAAAATGTTCTCGTAAAATTCGCGGATTATGAGCGTTATCACGGACGTATAACTGAGAGGATGTTTGATACAACTATCCCGGGACGAGTACAGATTTAGTACACAATCATAAATGTACGCAAGCACTCCGCCGCGTGTGAGTCAATTCTCTCGGTTTCCATATGCCAATCACTAAAAACCTCTTAAGCATAGACAAAATATTTATTTTTTATTTATACAACACATCTCATAGAGAACATCGTAAAAGTTATAAGTAGTTCAGACTCGTAGTAACATCGTTCGTTGGTATATTTATGTAGTACGCCAATGTTACTGAGGTCGATGCTCCATACCAAACTAATACACAATCAATCAACCAGATTGATGTACATGCGTTTGTGATTGATAATATGATTGACAGAAACGGAAAATGGAAAAGTAACCACATAAAGGAATTAATGCCAAGATTCCGTTTTAAAATATTAAAAACAAGTTTCCAAAGTCAGTTTATTTTGCTAAAATACGACGAAAAAGTGAAGTAAATAAATGGAGCCGCTGTAAAGAGGGCTTGTTGACTTAACTAAAATGAAGAAAGCTTTGAGAACTCTCATATTTTAGCTCGAGACTATATTTCTATCCGGCTACATGAATATTTAGCAACTATGCAATCTTCGGTGGAGTTACGCGATGAAGACATCAAATTATTTTCAAGATCTTTTTACAAAGAAAAGAAAAGCGTAGTTGCTTCATTAACATGTAATCCTTACTGGATTGTTTCTTTTCTTCTTTTTGCTAATGAATGCTAACTCCATTGCTTTTTTGTTCCGCGAGGCAACATAATGATGGCCGGTTTCCTTTTCGCCGACATGGAGCTTCCGTTTGTTTAAATTTATTTTGTTACATTCTAAGTAGAATTTATGTACTATTTATTTTTATTAGGTACTTTAGGATTTTGTTAATGTTATTTATTGAGTGTTAACGGTTTTCGTGGAAGGTGAACAGTTTTGTTTGGCGAATTTTAAGTTGTAATTAAATTATTGAATTCATACAATGAGGTTTCTAGTTTCAATCAGAGTGTGAATCCAAAATCATCAAGGTTACGATATTCCTGTTCTCCTGTAACTACTGTCAGGCTGTATCTAAAAAGCATCAAAGATAATAAAAAATCTTGTTTTCCCAATCAACAGTTTCATTGTACATATAAATTTTATTACAGGCATAGCGTGGGTAGTTTGTACGTTATCACAAGCCCGTTCATGCTCATCCAATATGAATCGTAAGGAATACGTCGTTTTTATACCGCCATTCCAAATTTCGCTTTACGATATTTTTCACCCAAACGAAAATAGATCTTACCAAAACGTTTCAGAGCACAAATCATATTTTTATTGTAATTGGGTATTGGTATTTACGGTAGCTGAAATATTTTATACGTAATTTCCAAATATCACATCATATCATTCAATAAAAGAAATTCCACGAAGAAAAATCAAAGAATTCATTTCAATTATTTCAATTATTGAGTACAACTTGAGTTCTCAAGGAGGCTGTCAGTTACAAATAAAGTTGAAGGTAGTTAAATCAATCGATTCTACTTGAATCGATAGGTATCGAGAGGTCTTAGAATCGAGACATGAATCGAAATATTCAACGTTTCGTAGTAGGCGGAGACTTCAAACGTATTAGAAGATCTTTAAGTGTTTGTTTATGTAATTAAAGAAACAGATGTTTTTGTTCGACATGTTTTCTTAGTTCCAAACATGTTTTGTCATTGGAATTTTCTTGTCTCGGTTTAAACAGTAACTGGGCGATAAATAGTAGGAGACGTCATTGAATGAAAATGAAATTAACCTTCAGGTTTTAAGATTAGATTTAATGGTCGGAAAGGTTAACTATAATGTCTTAAAGGCGTAAGTGAACTGTTGTTTCGTCAAATTTTTCATTTCTTAAGCTAAGTTTTTATAGCAATGTTTAACCAATGTTATTCCCTTGTCTCCAGGTCTTAGCGGTTCGAAAGCCGACCTGCAGCACAGGCGCGAAGTGTTCGGCTCGAACCTGATCCCACCAAAGCCCCCCAAGACTTTCCTCACGTTAGTCTGGGAGGCCCTGCAAGATGTGACCCTCATTATTCTGGAGGTTGCAGCTGTAGTCTCCTTAGGGTTGAGTTTCTACAAACCGTCAGATGACCCAGCTGATGTTGGTAAGTTTTATCAAGGTTTTAATGTGTAATACTTTATCAAGCCCTAGATTGTCAGCCATAGGTCCCTCAAATTCAGTTGCAAAATCATAATTGGTATCATTAAAATTCTCCCATATACGCTGACTCATAACTGTATGGAGTCAATCGATAGCTTCAATCAAAGTTTCACGCAATAACAACCCTTATTTCATAGACAATTAAAAGAAATAATTTAACAGCAACATACAATTCTGAGTCGGAAGTAATATGTTGTATTGATCTTGTATAAACTATACGTATGTCCAATTTGTGTAACATATCCAGTCCCCATAAAGTCATTGCCGTAACTGTTACCATAAGATACCATGGAAAGGTTACTATCGATCGCGAACCATGTGCTCGATCTGAATTATTCAGAGCCCGGTTTTTGCCCGTCTTTTTAACGCGTGTGCCACATGCAAACTTTAGTTCAATACAATCTTCTATACATTTTATGTTGTCAATGTGTGTACATAAAGGCTTTGCAAAAGCTTCCAGTCAGCGATAGTCAAATAAGTAGGTCTTTATAGGAAAAATGCTTAATGTAATTGGCGATGTTCTCAAAATTCATCCCACAAAAAAAGGTTTATTATTTCGCTATTAGCTCCGTAACTTATTTTACTTTAGGTACTGTAGATAGATGTTTAGGTACTAAATGGACGTAGAAGTTATATCTAGATTTACTGTATACTTTCATTTATAAGTACTTAGAAAAACCTAAGGTAATGTATATTAATTTATGTATTTTTTCTTTTCAATAACAATATGGAACATTAGACGATCCTGGTAAGATTATGTGATTAAAGTACGCGATTGTTCGTTGTTAGAGCTATGTAGGTACTCGAGTACAATTGGCGAATAGTATACCTTTATTCTGGGTGCATACTGGACCTATGAAAGGTGGTTTTCTAACGTATGCACTCAGCTGAACAAAAAATCCTTCACACGACAAGTTTGCAACTAAATCGATACGCTACTGTTTCTAAATGTCTATGTTCGGATATTTTATGTGTTGTTCTATACCATGGTTTAATATTTACTCAATTAGTGCTGATATACTAATTCTTGTTTCCTAAAATTGGCCAGTTTTGAACAAAAATATCCTTAAATTAACGAGACAAAATATCAGCACTATGAAATGCAATTGGCACTAAATACTTTCACATCTTGATCAATTTGATCTGTTTCTAAAATTTACACTGCGTTTACTAGTCGAAATGGACCACGGAAGCATCTAAATTATGTATGACTTTAGGTCTAACCCTAATTCATAATGCCATTCTAAACGTTTCTTCTCATTTTTCCGATGGTTTCGACTACGAAATGCAGTTTGTCATCTAAAATACGATGCCGACCGTGAAATGGTCGATGATATAGACCATGGTAATGGGGCATGTAATTGATTTAGTTGCGCACATCTTGAGTACCACAATGTAGTTGCACTTTAATAACCCTGTCCAACCCTGTAGGTTTGTCTGTCTTGCTTGCTAGTTTGTGTAACCTCTGGTCTATCTACCAAATATCTATAAGATACCAAACAATTTAAAAATGATATATTAGAAGACAAAGGAAAAATTTGGTCAACGAAATACATTTAACATGAGTCCACAATCGAATGATGATAATGAAGTTACAATTTCAGCTGCAGATAACTGCTACTGTGAAAGCCTACGTGAATTCAATGAACTGAAATGAATCTACATAATCACAGAGGCTTGTCCAATCCAATTCGAATATGGACATATTGGACATATTCCAGCAAAATTTTAAAGTGTTACATCCGCATTTTATAAGTATCGATTTCATTGACAAAGGTTTTATTAAAATCATGCAAAATATCTTCTGAGAAGCCTCTTTTTGTCCGATCAAGTTTTAACATTGAAATTTTGAAACGTATGTCCACAAATTAAGTCTATTAATATTTTATGCAAATAATCCTTTGAAAATTCTTAACAAAACTTGTAACCTATTTTGAGTTCCTCTATTATCAATAACGAATATTTTATCATCACCCGTATCATCGACAGATTCTAATACATCAAATTCATTACTTTTAACATCAACATCTTCAAAATCTAGTTCATCAGTATGCATGTAATCTTCGGGAATAGTTAGTTTGCCGGCCAAAGGAGGTCGCAGTCTTACCATCTCATCAATTAGTCCAATGAATATTACCATCTCTATTAAATTAAATGCCACACCGTTATTGAATCTGTGTGCCACCTGATACGGGTCATGACACCTTCCTTTTCTTTCACTCTCTACGTCCTCTCTATCTCTGTCTCTCTCTAGTTGTGTTGCATTACCGTTGTAGTGATGTTCCTCAATGGTGTTTGATTATGAACTGTTTAAAGGACGTCTCGTTTCATTGTTTAGTGAATGGTAATCTATGTTGTTATCATTGTTCTTTGGAAGTTATTTAAAGAAAATATTAATTAATTAAGATATTCCTTATTATTGTAATACTGACGTAAACTATATTAGTGTAACCGCTTTGCTGAATTGTCCTAGCATTGTTTTATGTGGTTTTAATCACAATTGTTCTTTTACTGAAAGAGATAGCTTTATTGTATACGTTCTATCTCTTTCATGCATTCGAACAATTGTGGTTTTTTGCACATCACATATAACCTGCTGTCTGCTTAACTATACTATAGTCGATAAAGCAAGCAATATCACCAAAACACAAATATACAATAAAATGTATTTGTATTTACAAAACAATGCTTCGATCTTAGTTACTAAAAAGTCCTGAATATCAAATGAGCTTATTGCTTGCTTCAGCCCTCCGGTTGAGAATATAGAGTCAGCACTCACATAACATGTGACGTCAACACTAGTCTTTTTGTACAGCCCGTCAAAGTCATAAGCTATAAAAACTGGCAGTCTCAAAGGCTTAGTGATAGATAATTCTAACATTGATTGGATAAAAAAGTCATCACTTCTTTCCAATTGGCACATTCATTCATCTTGTAAGAAAAATTTACTTAAAAAAATGAAATCTGAATTAACTTTATATTATGGGATATTCTGTTATAGGTGAGTAAATTACGAATTGACCGTTAATTTCGAATTTTCGGTGTTGCAATGTTTGAAAAAATTTAGTTTATAAAATGTTTAAGTTAAATAAAACCAAAACCTTCTAAATTGGTGTAACTGTAGTTTAAAAGACACTAAACTATGAATTCTAAATTTTATAAAAAATATAAAATATTGTTTTCAGTCATGAAAATCCTTTACCTCCTTTGCATTAAAATCATGTAGTTTTTATTTGGTAATTTTTACCACAATTTTTAAAATATAATGAATGAGTTATTACCATTTTATGTTTCTGTGGTATGGTGTTTGGTAAAGCAATTTCATGACCAACCGGCCCTTCTTAATTCTTCTAGAACAATATTAGAACCACGTGTGTTATGTTAAACAACCAATGCACATCCTTAATATCATTTTATTCTAGACTTTATTTCCATAGCGACAAGGCTGACTTTCCATCAGAGATTTACCAACTTCAAACATTTTTCATTAACCAATAGAATCGGTTTATTTTGAAATGCATTCTATCTTTGATCAGTGATAAGCAAGGATATTATAACGGCTTCTAATTTCAAACTAAGTAAAATAAAGCGATGCTATTGGCTGAAAGTATTCTAGAACATCTCTGATGAGAAAGTAGCTCAATAGATTTTTGTAGTTCACTTATAAAGACTTATGTTGGTTTGTGTATCTGTCTGTATAAAACTATATCTAATATCAATATTCAAATGTTTTCAGCTCATCTCGACGAAGAGGAAGGTCATTATCAATGGATCGAAGGTCTGGCGATTTTAATATCAGTCATAGTCGTCGTTATAGTTACTGCGTTCAACGATTACACGAAAGAAAGGCAATTCAGGTGTGTATTGAAACCCTTTTAATGAATAATTATGTATTAAAAAGAATTACCTTCTAGAATAATGAAAACTAACCCAAAAGTTGTACTAAGTCTAAAAGAAGTGTTCTACTAGTCATTCTAACTTTTGAAAAATGTTCAATAAAAGTATCTTGCTTCACTGAATCGCTATTAAATCTGTTAAAAAAAGGAATATTTCTCATTCAATATTTTTTAAATCCTTAAATGTTACAATCTAAGGTTCAATCCCTACATCGGACAGAGAATCGATATAAATTACCTTTTTAACTAAAGTGTCAGGATTTAGACAACAATATTATATTGTCTAGAAAACTATACCTATTTTTACAATCTATGACCCAATTTTAACGAGATCCCAATCTCAATTCCAGAGGGCTTCAATCTCGGATAGAAGGGGAGCACAAGTTCGCGGTGATCCGAGGCAGCGAGGTCAGGCAGGTTCCAATCAGCGAGATAGTATGTGGCGATATATGTCAGATAAAGTACGGCGATCTGCTGCCCGCTGACGGTATACTGCTGCAGAGTAATGACTTGAAGGTAAGCAGAGTTATCCATGTATCTTTAGTAGTAAGTTTTAAATAAGGTCATCGTTGTTTATATTAAAACTTTCGTGAGACATACGTAATTAATTATTAGGGTTACGGCTTACGAGAAACTCGACTAGTTTCAAGCCATGCTAGAAGCTCATATTCTTGAGCAGTATTCCGCGACCCACGACGCGGCGACTGTCGCGCTGCTACTTTAAACTAGTCGAGTAAACTTTAAAAAGTTACGTGGGTTAGCCGAAAACATAATAATTAATGGTCATCATTTTTAAAATGTCTTTAATGTAATAGTTTATTACAAGGTTCTTGAAAGTTGCAACGTTTAGTAGCTTATTTAGTAGCCAGAATGAGACGTGGAACTTAGTTTATCTTCGTGGAAGAAATGAGCATAATTTAATTATAACTTGTTGGTAATTGTTATGTTGTATCATAGTGATACATAAGTAACAACTCCGTCGGAATGAGTCGTTATGTTTTTGAATTAGATCGATATAACTTGTTGTTAATAACAAAACTGATAAAACCAGTATCATCAACCTGACCTATCCCTTTATCAAAGAACAAACTTTAATATCTTTCGGAACACCTGATCATCACTGGACCCTATTGGCAAAAAAACATGACAATAAACTTAACAAACATCATACACAATAAAATCTTGTAATCGACTAAACAAATACAATCAATGACTGCCTCGTTGACCGAGTGGTCGCAAGTGCGACTGCTGGGCAAGGGGTCTCGGGTTCGATTCTCGCGTAGGATAAAGTATTACTGGATTTTGAAAATTCTCAGTAGTAGGACGTATCCTGGAAATGTACCCGGTATATGGCAATAGGCTCACCCCCTATTACATGGGACAAATAACATAATTAGTGAAAAGTGGGTGTTACATTGTACAGTGGCATTAAGTGCCGTAATGCGCACCTCTGCCTACCCCTCCGGGGATAAAAGGAGTGATGTTATATAAATACAATCAGATATTTTAATCTTCAACCGAAACGAACACAATTGTAACATTATAGAAATCCTAGAGTTAATTTCTTTTATGTTAACGCTATGGACACGTTTATGACGTTTAGTGCTCTGATTGGCCTGCGCTAAATTAACCAACCAATCAGACGAGTTAATAGCGGTAACGTTTAACTTAAAAAAAGACCTCGCTCTAGGTTCTCAGTCCCCTCAAGTAAATATAAGCACCTAGGTAGTAATATCTAATTTGTAACAATATCGACAGTGTGCGTCAATTGATAACTGAATACCTTACTGATCAAACACTGATAACGCGTTATTAGGTTATCAGTAACAGTGTTATATTATAAAAACGTGGATATAGTGCGAAAAAAATGAAAATATTTACCTGTTTTCGCCTTTTTAGAGGTCAGTTTTTGACCTTACTTGTTCGAGTACAAAAGGAAGAACCCTACTACAAATTCTACGATAGTACTGATAATTTCCCACCTCAATTCTGCTAGGCTATATTGTAAGTTTCAATTCCAAAGATCGGGGAGAAGTCGATCGCGGTCCTCCACGTAATTATCGATGTCGACAATAATCTCGACCAATAACAGACGAGAATACGACCGAACGTACTTTGAAAGTTGGGAAGTAAAACAGTTACAGAATAGCCAGCTCTGACTAATCCTCGTATGTTGAATCAATGGGTTAGTAATATAGAAACTAATCTGTCTCCTAAGGCTATCAAAACCCTCAATGAAACTGCAAAAACCGTTAATGGAATATAAAACCTCGTCCACCTCCTATGCCAAGATTTCCTACAGAATTAACAAGATCCTTCAAAGTCACTTCAAAAACTTTTATCTCAAAACTCATAATCAAATGAATTACTGCCAAACTTGCACACCGAGATATACAACTACTTAGAAAGTCGCATAATTGTACAATTTGCGTCATTATAAAGCCAAGATTGTGTCGATAAAACCCTCACTGATATACCAAGTTGTTGTAGATAAGGAACAAACCGAATACCGCAGTTTTTATCTTTTATTTTAATATTTAATTCTTATGTTTAGTTACGAATTATGTTAAATGTCGCTAGATAATATTTTTGATCTATGGCTGTGTGATGGCCATGTTTGATTGTAGATTTTCTTGTGTTACATAATGGCATTTTTGTAAGTGATATGCGTCGTTGACATATGACAGAAGCTCAAAATTAGGTTCCAACATTGCTAAGGCTTTTTATCAAGCGAGAATTATCGATATCAAGAAATAAGCTACAGGATAAATTAGCAATACATCTGTATTATGTAAATTCTTTATGATAAGTCAACATGTTTTGATAAACAAACCTAGAATAGCTTAATGGCCAAAGTCCTGTCACAAGCTCATGTTATAAAATCTATTACACAGGTTTTTCTAAAGGAATCCTTCATCATTGCATTTTACGTTACAGGTTGATGAATCGTCGCTCACTGGTGAATCGGACCATGTCAAAAAGGGTGAATCGTTTGATCCCATGGTGCTATCCGGTACACACGTCATGGAAGGTAGGCAAACCGCCATAACACAGCTATTGTAACAGAAAATATGTTACGTTTGACCTTAATATAGTTTTGCGCATAAGTAAGAGGTTAGCGCAAGTTTGCGCAAGTATCCAGTAAATAAATTTTATAGATTAAGTTGCCAATATAATAGATTTTTGACTTTTGTAGTGTCGACTAAGAGAGAGGAATCCAATGCATTTTAGCACATTATGCTGGCCTCGGTGGGCTGCCTAACACTATTCCCTCTTAATAACTGAGTCTTCATTTTCATGCATAACTATATAATCTTGATTCAAATTCCAGGCTCCGGCAAAATGCTGGTAACAGCGGTCGGTGTAAACTCCCAGGCTGGTATCATCTTCACGCTCCTCGGCGCCGCTGTAGACAAGCAGGAGAAGGAAATCAAGCAAATGAAGAAAGGTCAGTAACCTTGTGATGTGTTCGCTAACGTAGCATAGTGATGTCCCCTTAGATATGTACCTCCTTTCTGATGAACCGGTGATGGTCATGTGATGTCCAATGGTTATGGTTATTTTTGTCAATGTCCAAAAAGTTTAATGTTTTATAATAGAAATGTTAAGCTTACATAATCATCAGAAAGGTCGTCCTTTAGCGAAAATCCCGCAAGATAGTTAGCATTGTTACTCTGCTCATTTAGGTGATGACGCTTTCTGCGAGTTGCTTTAACAAAAATGTACTTAAACATGAGACTATAGAGTATGTTTTAGCTTGGCTAAATGAGCATAGTACGCCCCAATGCTTGGTGCATACATTAGTGTAACCAGTGACGTATGACCCTCTCCCCCCTTGTCATTGAGCCACCGCACTTAACCTCCATTTTGGAAGGAGGTAGTAAAAAAATTATAACGAAATTGGGAAAAAATAAAGCTTTCCTACACATCTGGCCAAAATTATTGGCACATTAAATCTTTTTTTATGCTCTTTTGCCAGTTTCGTGTTTAAAAGTGAGATTATTTTATTTATTGATGACTGAATGATACGGATTGTCATTTTTTTGTCTTGATTTTATTGTCGTTCCATACAGTCTTGTTGAACGTTGTCTGTCTATGTTATATGTTTTAACTAATAGCCTGAAATGTTTTGTGAGAGCATGACATATTTTTAAAGCGAATATTTTCATTTGTACGATATTATTTATTATGTGTACGTTCAATGTTGTTCTATTATTATTTCGTCTCAATAAAGAAATAATCTCTGTACAACAATCCTAAAATTATAATTAAAATGATCATAAAAGCATACATTTGTAAATGCAATTTTAGTCGCTACGTTTGAGCTGTTGAGAGTTTGAATATGAACCTTACTTCAATTAGTATAAGACTGAAAACATTTCTAGCAACCAGTTTCAATAAGAGTGATATTACCTCAACCGTTCAAACAGCAATTGACATAAACCCTTTAGATTTAGTGCCACAACCAAACATATAGTGTGATCCGTACAATGACATCCAACTTTTTTTTCTCCACCCCCGACCCCGGCCTGCTGCACGCATCTCCATGTCGCCGATCAACAAAAAAAATTAAAATAAAAAAAAATACATAAACCAAAAACCTAAATCAAAACATACACATTGAATGCATCGTGTAACTGTCGTGTTGACTGCATGATGTATCAAAATATTATCCAATCGTTGTCATTAATGTGTATGCTTATTATATTTTGGATAAAAAATATATTATCGATGGGATATTGGACAAAAATTGACTCGAGTAGAGGCTAAAAAGCAGCAACGCAAGTCTACGCAACGCAAGAGTTTGACTGGTAAGTAAAATCCTTTGCTATGCCCCGCTTTAAAAACTACCGTACACTGAGGGTCAGAGAAATTTCGCCTTTATTATTATAATGATACATGTTATATTTAAATAATGGTGATGGTGCTTAGTCTGTAGCTTCGAGCTTAAATGTGGGATGGGTAGATTATTCTGTCCTTTAGTGTACATAAAAAAAGGCACTACAATTATAGAACAAAGTTACTCTAGCGTTCTTCCTAGATACAGTACTTTAATAGATTAAAAACAGTAATATTATACTAATTTTCTCTCTTTCTCGCGATTTGGTAGGTTTCTTAAATAATAATAATAATTAATTTAAATTTAAAATGTAATTTTAAACCATTCATTTTCACTTAACAGCATCCTAGTGCATTTCTTTTGTAGTAACACTTTAATGTATGTAATTGATTAACTTATAGTATAATTAAGGATTTGACCTTCTAACTAAGAAGGTAGGTACAACCGTAGATAAACTAAAATTCAGTACACTTGCACTACAAAGTACAAATACCTAACAGTAATTAATTTCCTATTTTGTAGTAGAGACACTTTTTATTTTTGTTTTTCAAAAAGCAGCCTACAGTCCAAGCTGAGTAAGTTCTCTTTTCTTCGAGAATTTTCCTCTTTTAACAGAAATTATTAAATTTTCAGGCTGTTTTAAAGTAAAGCTATTTGATTTATCGAATTGGCACTGTAACTAGAGATTCTGTTAAATTCTGGGCTTAACGTTGTAAGCGATGGTTGCTCAAGTATTTCAGCGTTGACTCGCAATCGAGGGGTTATGTACTTTATTTCTGTAGTCATGAAGTTCATTTTTATTTACTTACATTAACCTCTGGATAGTGAGTTACGTTTTAGAGAAATGTTGTGATACTGTACTGGTATTGTTTTATTATGAATTGGCCATCTTTAGTATTCATTTTCTAAATTAGTATGTAGTAGTATTCAATGTCAATTAACGTAGATATTTGGTCATTCTATTCGATTTTCTTTCTGAATTATCTTCAAAGTAATTTTAGGTGTCAAAGCCAACTTTACAACATAATTTCGGACCTATTATGTGACTCTAACCGTTCTGAGTTAGTATATCTATACACGACAAATTTTATTATTGAGTACTCTAAACTCTATGTAGCTTTACTGGAAACGTATTAGTTAGACAAATAAATCAATGTAGATGAATTAAACCCTTTATTTATTATCAAATTCCAAACTACCAGTACACAATCATAACAACATATTTGAGTAAATTATCGCTTTACCCAACAATATACTAACACGGTTGTTACACCACACAGGTGACGAAGACGCAACGTTGCCGGCGTCAGGCAACAGTCACGGCGCGAACCACGCGCGACCAGACGACAACCACGTGCCTGCAACCAGCGACAAACCTCCGCCAGAAGCTGGACATAAAAAGGAGAAGTCTGTACTGCAAGCCAAGCTCACCAAGTTGGCTATACAAGTAAATAAACGTGCATATTTAAGCTTATTGTAACACCTTTTATTCTCTAAAAGAAAAAGGTAACATTATTATATTAAATGGAACACTTTTTACTGGCTAATTAAGAAACCTATGAAATATGGACTCAGCTTAATGTCATGATGATGACGATATCAGTCAACTATCTGAGTGCTGCTAGCACCAGGCAGAATTCTAGTTCGTGCTATGTTGTTTTTTTACAGAAAATTATTAATACTGAAATCCGACCTCGGAATGAAACACAAGGTATCTCTGAAACCACGCTTATGACCTGTTAACTGATCAGCAAAACACTTACAAATTACATCTCCTAAAATTTTTAACACCAGAATAGCACCATTAGTTTTCAATTTATCAACATTTCATACGGGTGTTTGGAATATGTGCGACAAACTTAAACTAATTTCTTCAACAGATCGGCTACGCCGGCTCCACAATAGCAGTCCTGACGGTGATCATCCTGGTGATAAACTTCTGCGTGCATACGTTCGTGATCGAACAGAAGCCGTGGAAGGCGACGTATATCAACAACCTGGTGAAACATCTCATCATTGGTGTCACCGTACTTGTCGTCGCCGTGCCTGAAGGATTGCCGCTTGCCGTTACTCTGTCGCTTGCTTACTCTGTCAAGGTATTTATCTCTTGTAATAATATACAATTAGCGTTCGGCGTTCTGATTGGCCGGCTCCAATGAACCAACCAATCAAGTGTACCGAACGCGGTCTCGTTCTAATGGTGTTACGCCATATTTTCTAGTATAATTTGTTTTCAACATAAGACGTAACAAAGTGGCCCATAAAGTTTTGAACTGTTCTCAATGTTGTTATACAGACAGAACATTTGGACTGGATATAGAATATCCTAGTTTTCTATACCTATTGCACTTAATAATTCCACCGTTCACCGTATATACAAGATAAAAAAGATTATTTATACTGTTAAGTAGCCTACAGTTCTCTTTATTCACCTTCCACTTTTTCGGACACTCACATTAAATACTAAATTCACATTATCCTTCCACAGAAAATGATGAAAGACAACAACTTGGTACGTCATTTAGACGCTTGTGAAACGATGGGTAACGCAACCGCAATCTGTTCAGACAAGACAGGAACTCTCACCACGAACCGAATGACAGTCGTACAGTCCTACATCTGTGAGAAACTCTGCAAGGTCACGCCTAACTTCAGGGATATACCGCAAGAGGTCGCCGAAACTATGGTCGAAGGAATATCTGTTAATGCTGCCTTTACGTCCAGAATTATGGTGAGATTTTATTGTTACTTTCTTGTAAATTATCATCACGAGTGTTGATTGAATTTTTTCTATATATGTTTCGAGAATAATTTTGCTGTGAGTGCTTTCCGTCAGAGCACAATTTCTCTCTGAGTTTGATTCTAACCATGTTTTTTCATGGCCATAACTTTAGATGCACATAAACAAATTAGAGTGTACATCACTGTTATAATTTTTTGATCAAACCTTAACAATATCGTTCCTTCTTTCTACAGCCGAGCCAAGATCCAACAGGGCCTCCAATGCAAGTTGGTAACAAGACCGAATGTGCCCTGCTAGGGTTCGTCCTAGCGCTCGGCCAGAGTTACGAGGCAGTTCGTGAGAGACACCCAGAAGAATCCTTCACCCGTGTGTACACGTTCAACTCGGTGCGCAAGAGCATGTCCACTGTCATCCCCTATAAGGGCGGCTACCGACTTTACACTAAAGGAGCTTCTGAGATTGTTTTGAAGAAGTAAGTACCGCTTTTTTTAATGTCTAGCGTATACCAATGGCTTTTTACTTGATAAATTCAAGGTCATAGTTTTAACTTGTCCCTTTATTTCAGAATCTACACATGTAGTCTTTCTACAAAAAATCTTTTCAATGTATCACATAAAATGCTATAAATAAATAACATAATTCTATAACTTCAACTACAAACTTAATCGTCAAAAACCTTCTAATTTATTTTCTGAATATTTTTGTTAACTTTTGAGATCCTACAACAGGAATAATCATGTCCTCTATTTCAATAAGCAAAACAAAGAATTGCCGTTTAACATTAATATTTCATTCTACAGATGCGCATTCATCTATGGTCACGAAGGTCGTTTGGAAAAGTTCACGCGCGACATGCAAGAGCGATTGGTACGACAGGTAATCGAACCCATGGCCTGTGATGGACTCCGAACCATCTCCGTCGCTTACAGGGACTTCGTACCGGGCAAGGCTGAAATTAACCAGGTAAGCTTAAAATAGATATGTTATACTCGGAATTTTAATTCGATTCCAGATTTGACAATTTCAGTGTTGCAACGTTATGACAAGTACTAAATAGTGACGTTGCGAAATTATTCGATATGGAAATGCAATATTTCTAAATCGATTCTCTCGTTTATAATTTTACTCTCGTAAACTAAGCATATCAGGAAATTAAATATTTCTGACCGATAATTTAGTTTTGACGATTACTTAACGATCTGAGATTTTTCTTTTATAATTGTGTGTGAAATAACTAAAATAATGTAATCATGAAGGAACATGACAAATAAAACAGATAGATGTATTATGGTAACAAGTTATTTTATAAATTGTCGCCGTCATCGCTATCGCTATCGCTGTCACTTTCTGTAACATTTATTATAAAACACACACACTGATTGTTTATCGATTTTTGTGCCCATCTCTACACCATTATATGTGGTATCATTATTTCACAAAATGACAGTAGCTATTGTCAAATCTGGAATCTAATTAAAATTCTGACTATAGTTATAATTACCTTTTTGTAGTCTAAAATGTTTACAAAATATGTCTGTACAATACATTCATAATTACTTGTAACTCAACCCAATATGTATAATTATAGTTGCGATTTACTTACGAACAAATTGTTTGTCTATCCAGGTGCACATAGACCAGGAACCGAACTGGGACGACGAGGACAACATCGTGAACAACCTGACCTGCTTGTGTGTAGTCGGTATTGAAGATCCTGTGCGACCAGAGGTACATTTTATAACTTTTTAAAAAGTACTAGCATAGGTACCTTGCCCTTTGACACTTAAATGATGTTAAAAAATGTAATTGTTTAAACTGTCAAACACCAAGCGGTCACCGGTGACCGCAACCTATTGTTCTATAATTGTGTCTACAAAACCGGTACTCGACGAGTTAATTAAAAAATGATTTCCTAATTTTCTACGTTACAAATGTGAACATAAACATTTGATTTAGTAATGGTAGTCTCAAAAACTCTTGCAAATAAGGATTTTTGTACACGAACTCATTGTTTTAATATTTTATACAAGTTATAACTATTTCATTGCCTTTGAAACTCCTTAAAATACACTTAACCGTACCCATCAACATGAACAGTTCCATAACAGTCCACTACTGAACTAAAGGCGTCAACTTGTTATAATCTCCATTCTTTATAAATGTCTCTTCGTCCCCAGGTACCCGAAGCCATCAGGAAATGTCAAAAGGCAGGCATCACAGTGCGCATGGTGACCGGAGACAATGTCAACACGGCGCGGTCTATTGCCATCAAGTGCGGGATACTCAAACCTACTGACGACTTCCTCATTCTGGAGGGCAAGGAGTTCAATAAGAGGATCAGGGATACTAATGGAGAGGTGTGTAACATTCGTTATTTTTTGTTGGGTAAATGTTATAAGAGTAAAAGAATCGCCATCTTAGCAGGCAATTTTAGATTCGCAGTTTAAACAGGTCTGAGGGCTTATTACAAGTTTGTATTTCGCTTAACGTGATTGACAACGTTTATGATGCTCTCATTGGCTCGCTCCATTGAACCAACCAATCGGAGAGTACGCGTGAAGACTAGAGGTGGTGACCAATGTATTATATTCTGTCGGCGCATTAGTATGGCCATCGACCATAGAGGCGGCGACGCGCGGGACGGGGTATAAAAACCCACGGCCGCGCGAGCGCCGCGCTTCTTCTTCATCGACACACGCCAGCCATAGCATTCGGGCATTTCTTTGTATCGGTGCGAGCCGGTCTTGATTCTGATATGTAGTAATTAAACCTATGTATTAATTGTGCAGTCTTCTGTTTTAATTTGAAATAACCCGACAGAGCTACGACAATTCTGTCATTACCTCTGCCTTTTTTCAGTCTGAATAACTCAAGACACTCCTTACAATGTCCTAGTAAAAAATGAGATATTATTTAAACTATTCTTCTGTTTTGCAGGTACAACAACACCTACTAGACAAAGTATGGCCAAAACTCCGCGTCCTTGCGAGATCGTCACCGACAGACAAATACACGCTAGTTAAAGGAATGATCGAATCTAAAGCCTTCGACACTCGCGAAGTAGTCGCTGTCACTGGAGACGGTACCAATGATGGACCGGCGCTTAAAAAGGCTGATGTTGGATTTGCTATGGTAAGTTGTTTCTTGTTGGTAGACGGGTAAGGTAGATTTTTGAGTAGGGAAGATGACCATTTATAACTTTTAGTTTAAATTAAAATACCATCATCTTTTAACAACTATTGTGATTTAAAAAATGAAATCTTGGTTTTTATTGGTGTCATCTAGTTGATTCTAAAGCGATAACATTTTTAAGTTGCCAAGACCTTACTTAGCTTTGTCATTGTAATTTTCTTCACTCAAAATCTTGATTGTTTAATTCACTTAACAATACTTAGAATCGTCAACTTTAATATTTCGAAGCAAAGTCGCATTCTTACACGTCTATATATCACGTCTATATCTTTTATTATACCTATCATACTAACCACTATTACCTATTTTCATAAGCCCCAACACACTTTCTAACCTCCCAATTCTTCCCCCAGGGTATCGCAGGTACAGACGTAGCGAAGGAAGCATCAGACATCATCCTTACAGACGACAACTTCTCATCCATCGTGAAGGCAGTGATGTGGGGCCGTAACGTGTATGACTCCATCGCCAAGTTCTTACAGTTCCAGCTCACAGTCAACGTGGTCGCTGTTATTGTGGCCTTCATTGGTGCCTGTGCGATACAGGACAGTCCTCTTAAGGTATGTACTTTGAACAAGATTATTATTGTCATCGTTCAATCAACCACAAATTGTTGATGCTGAACATATTCCTCCAAAACTGTATTACGTCCCAATACTGAAACGCTCAATTTAAGTAGCGCTTAAGTATAGTTCTGTCTCTACAAATTCTTTGTAAAATGACACAGATGGCACGATATTTTAGTACAACTTAAAGTCGCGGAGAACCTAACGGTCGCGGAGAACCTAAGGGGTAACGGGGCTCCGGCTCGACGTGCAGGAGAAGGAACGGGGTGGTTTTTAGTCATTAAGAGCCTTACACTCCATCCCGCCTCACCCAGGCGGGCAGTCATTCGATGATTTTCCCCACTTAATAAAAAGTAGCCGTTCAGTATTTAGACGATTGTGTACTAAAACAATGTTCTTCACTGCCATACAAATAACTTTGTGTTTATTCAAAAAGTAAGTTCTTTTCCGCCACTAGATTTAGGTCTGCAATTTCAAATGGTTTTTAAACTGTTAAAATCAGTTTTTGCGTTAAAACAAAACTGTTTTTGCTCATAATCGATGCCTAGATGCATAGATCACTTTTTTTTCTTGAGATCCCTCTTAGTATCTTGATCTAAAATTTTTCTTAGGATCCTTGTTGCGATCTTTTTTCTAAGGTATCAAAACGTTTTTTTTTTTCGATTTTAACAACTAAAGACTAATCTCCCCTTCCAGGCAGTACAAATGTTATGGGTAAACTTGATCATGGACACGCTAGCGTCGCTTGCGCTGGCGACAGAGATGCCGACGCCGGACCTGCTACAGCGCAAGCCGTACGGACGAACCAAGCCTCTCATCAGTCGCACCATGATGAAGAACATCCTCGGACAGGCCATTTATCAGCTCTTTATTATATTCTCGCTTCTATTCGTCGGTAAGTCATCGAGGATTTAAGGGTTTAAGGGACGAAATCTGGTTTTAATAATAATTAATAGTAGTAGACTATGCTTAATCTTATGTTGAACACTGATTATTGACTTGATATAAACAAATATTCTCATGATCTTCCAGGTAGATTGTAAATAATTATAGACCTTACGTTCTCTAGCATACAGTTTATTATCTACATTTTCGCTTAATATTTCTATCAAGTTGAACTGTAGCAAAATATATGTCATGTATGTTTAAATAATGTACTACAAAAACTTACAAATACTTATGATACAAATGTCCACAACTCGTATGTCTCCAGGCGACAGGCTGCTGAACATCCCGTCAGGCCGCGGCCAGGCGCTGGGCTCGGAGCCCACGCAGCACTTCACGATCATATTCAACACGTTCGTCATGATGACGCTCTTCAACGAAATCAACGCGCGCAAGATACACGGCCAAAGAAATGTGTTCCAGGGATTGTTTACTAATCCCATCTTCTATTCTATATGGATCGGCACTGCGGCTTCGCAGGTATGTCAATTACATTACATTACGCCTTTTATCCCTGAAGAGGTAGGCAGTGATGTACATTATGCCAAATACAATGTAACACCCACTTTTCTTTTATTTATGTTATGAGTCCCATGTAATAGGTGGTGAGACTATTACCATATACCGGGCACAATTCCAGACTTCGTGCTGTTACTGAGATTTTTTTTAAAAACCCGGTAATACTTTGCCCTTCCCGGGAATCAAACCCGAGACCTCTTGCCCGGCAGTCGCACTTGCGACCACTCCGCCAACGAGGCAGTCTATCAGTTATTTATGTGATTACTAGCTTTTACCTGTGTGAATATGTCGCTCTCTATACTTACAAAAAAATAATATATCAAAAGAAGATTGGGTGAGAATATACAGCGGTCGCAATCAGGTAACAAATGAACCAATAAAAAAAACTTATTTCGCATTATTGCTGTTGTTGGACGCCATCTTTCATGTAAGGTTATCTTTTCATTTTTTTCTCTATATGTGGAATCCAATTTCGGAACTCAATAAGTTGTGTTATTAGACGTCGATATTTTCAGTTGAGTGTGGCAAAGAAGAAACAATATTGTACAAAACTAATGATGACCTCCTTTTATGACCATCGTCAACAACCAGTGTCAGTATCCTATGTTAAATTATGTAACTTTGAGTGACTCGGCAAACTACGTACCACCTTAAAATAACACCTTTTTTTATTTTATCATTTTAAGTTGCGTTTTCTCTGACCATTTAAACCTTCATGGACTTCCACGAACATTTTAAGAACATAATTAGGCAAATCTGTTCAGCCGTTCTCTAGTTTTAGCGAAACCAACGAACGGAAATGCATTTTTATTTTCCATTTGACATCACAATCTATACCCTATTACTACACAAAGCCCTTCAAAACAATTCCAGGTAATAATAATCCAGTTCGGTGGCATGGCGTTCAGTACGGCGGGTCTGTCGATAGACCAGTGGCTCTGGTGTCTGTTCCTCGGCGCCGGGACCCTTGTCTGGGGTCAACTCGTCACCACCGTGCCCACTAGGAAGATTCCTAAGAGACTGTCGTAAGTATTTATTATCATTTAGATGGTTCTTATCAGGACTTATGGACCCGCACTTCAAAGGATAAAAATTGATAACTAAATAATAACAACTATTACAGTGCCAATACGTCATCTTAATCGTCATCATCATCACCATCAGACCATTTTTTATGGAATAGTGGAACAGACGAACTGACGGATCACCTGATGGTAAGCATTGGACACTGGATTGGACCTGGAGTAACCTCATATACAAAATGGTTAGCAATGGACAGATGTACACCTGGTAAATGAAATACCATAAGGTTAGGTCTCCTCCGGTAATCTCATTCCCGCAGCGAGACACAAAACTTGGTTATTTTATACCAGTTTTCTGTGAGGCTGTGGTAATTGTGCTATGATGTGATGACATACATAATCTCGTGCCACCCAGATGGGGCAGAGGTCAGCCCGATCCAGAGACCATCCAGCCCGGTCCAGACTACGATCCAGATCTGGATAAGAAGCCGCGAGCTGGCCAGATTCTCTGGATCCGCGGTCTCACGCGCCTCCAGACTCAGGTATGCACAACACATAAACGATACACACACACAAACACAGGGATTACATTATGTCTTGACGGATGACATGTGCTTGTAGAAAATATTTTTTTTTATTATTGTGATAATAAGTAGTCTGTAATTTCTGTTATAAGTTTTAATTGTGATTTTTTTGGTCTGAATAAAATAATGTGATAAAAGAAGCTTTTATATTGTTGTAAATCTACTGGCATTAAGTTTAAATAAAATTCGGTCAGCACGAACAAAATGTTCGAATTTATTAATCTGTGAATAAAATTTAAAAAAAAGTTTATTCGTATATTCACTTTTTCACACGAATAACTACTGGTTTTAATTGCCTATAGTTGATAATAAACCTTATTTTGATACACCAAAAGTATATCTCATCCGTCTTTAAATGCTATGTGGCTGAATCCAGTAGCTGAAAGGTCGCTGGATTTCGTCTGGGGCTTTCAATAACTTCATATTAATATAAAAAAGTACTTAATATATTAATATGAAATTATCGGGAATCTAGGTACACGAACACAAAGCGGGTTAAATGTTGGGGTCGATGTACATCATCATTTTGGGGGTTATAAATGGTTCTAAAAATTTATTCACACTTGAATAAACTATTCAAGTCTGAATAAATTTTTCGCAACTGCTAACAATGGCCAAGATTTGAATAAATATGTTTTTATAAGTATTTTTATGGCTATTGTTTCCAGTTATATTTTTACTGGCGGCATTCTTAATTGTTTAATTATGAATAGTTTATTCAATAACAATATACATATGAATAGTTAAAGAGTCGTATAAATTGTAAGAAGCTGTCAGTAAATCCTCATGGGTTACATCATGATATTGGCTGTGATTTTGAGACTGGTTATCCAAAGAAACATGATGATATTCCATGCTATATATTATATATAAAAATATACAATTACTGCGCATATTTACTGAATTACTCTCAAGAGGAATGACGTAAACATGTCACAGTAGTTATTATTCAATAATGATAAATAAATAAATTCAAAAATAAAAAATATTAGGAATCGCAGGCTGTTCGAGCTTACGAAAGAGGGATAAGTTTTAAGTTTACAGCTTTGATACATACAAATATATAAACAGCAAAGGTCAACAGGTCAACACTTCGGATACCTTGGGCATCCTAACGCTAAGTCAACGATACTATAGTCCTTATTATATATACTTTTACTATTTTTGCATACAAACGAATATAACCACCATTTTTCAATATTATGCATCCATATATCTAGAATATTCGACCATAGATTATATAGAGATACGTTAAATCATTTTTATATTACACATCTTATGATTTGTCCGTGCAGTAAGCGGGAACTTTCACAGTACGAGTCGATACAAATAATTAATAAATTCAAATATATATTTTTTTCTAAATAATACACAAAAATAATTATTTCTCCGTAAAAGAAAACGAATTTCAATATAACTGTTAACGTTATTGTTTTTTGATTCTTTTAGTTTTTTATTATTTTATCTTTCTCGTTTATTTATTTTTTATTCTATATTAATTTTCTTATTTTTCAAGTCTCTTTATTATTTTTCGTTTCATTCTCCTATACTTCTGTTCTTTTCGAGACATTTATTTTTATACCTACACAGAGAAACACTTTACAAAGTAATAAATAGTAGTATACGCTATCATTATTTTTGACCCATAATTAACGTAGAAATTAACTAATTGTTCGGTCACTAATTTTGTTTAAACTTACAATTCCTATTAAAGAAATTATTATGATTAAAATATTTAACTAAATGTCGAAATTGGCAACCGAACAATGATGCAAACATTAGAAACTTTTATTTATCCAACAAGACTATATTTCATTTTACTTCTTCAGACCTGGTTTCATGACATTTATGTATTTGTTTATGGAACTTTTTATTATCTATCTGTATTTCAGTCTTGAGAATCACCCTGCTGTCTCCTGCTCTATACTCCTAACTTGTCATGAGACCGGGGCTATCCCGTAACGCCACTAGATATGAGAGTAACCGCCATGCATGAACCGCATAACGAGACAGTCTGACGCTACCCGTTTTATTTTATTTTTCTATATTTAATACCTGAGTTGACTTGCCGCCCCTCTTCCACTACCCATTGGCATGCTCTAGTAGGCTGTGACAATGTTACTTATCCCTCGTATTTACCTTCAAACAGTTACTATGACTACCCCGATAGTATATAAATATATTACTCAACATAAACCACATCGCGGTATGAATATGACTATCTCTATCTTACTCTATCTTTTATTTAACTCTAGTCATACTGACTGTTTGATTTTATTTTTTTATTTTTGACTATTTTTTTTTTGTTTTATTTTTGTCTGTTTTTGATTTTTATTTTGAAGAATAGTATTTTTTGCTTGTGATGCGCCAACCCGAAACATCCTCGCTACTGATCCAAAGCATCCCAGCTCTGTAAATGAACGCCGTTTCGAAAGAACCTGCCACTGCCAGGCCCGCACGGCGTACCGACTAACATGCGTGTAGCGTGACCGATATCAAAATACTAGCAGTAACATGACTTGTTCACTCGATCACTTGTTTATCCACTTTAAAGTATTATTTTAATATTATTTTGTACCAAGTTGTGTTCAGTTACTGCTGTTAGAATGACTTTATTTGAGTGTGGAGTGGATTTTTTTTGAGAAAATATTAGTAAACACACATGTAGCGAGAGCATGCTCCGTCTGCTCGGACTAACACTTCAGTCTAACCGAATACGGTGGAACCTATCTCTTCCCTTTGCCGTTGTGTTGTTGTCAGTGTTTTTATGTTTTTTTATTTTTTGTTTTATTATTTTGTGTTTGGTTTTGTTTTATTTTTGTGTATGTTGTCCCCGTAGTGGCGTGTTATGTCGGGTGTGTTCGGTCAGGTGGGTACAAGCGTCAAACTGGGCGGCGAGATCCATCATCCGTAGTTTTGCATTGCCTTGCAGTTGGAAGTTGCCTTCTTTGTGTTAATTTGCGTAAGTCTTGTTAGGCTTGATGTAGTGTCCATTATTGTAAATGTATATAGCGATGATGTTACGCAGCGTCGCAGGTAAGTATACTATGTACGTAGAGAACAAATAACCAGTAAATTACATATATAAAAAGATACATATAACCCAAAAAGTGATATTGTGTAGCTTTCTAACTTTCGACGTTTATGGATTGTGCAAATATCAAACTTTACATTCCATTTTGTGTAAAGAGAAATATATTAATGTTTTCAAAGTTTGTAAAGATATTTTCACAATAAAAATTCGTCTGAATGTACTAAAAACACGTAATATGTTCCTCCTTGGCTCCTAAATAAGTGTGTAACGAAAAGTTCACGTTATCGACAGCATGGTAGATGTTTAGACTAAGTATCTGTCACAAGAATTATATGCGGACTAGCGTGCCACCACCATAGAACGCATATGGAATTTGACATAAAAGAAAAAATAAATAGAAGTTACTGTACATTGTTTTTTAAAAGAACGTTTTAAAGCCAGTTGGCAGATATAAATAGGTGTTACCCGAGTTTAGGAATAGTGCACCCTTGTCTGACCCAAGCATTTTTAGGTGACTCCCTGCGTTGAGTAGGCGTAGCTTAGCCGTCGATCTCCAGGGTAGATGAGGCCTCGATTCGTACCCTATTTTTTCTCACATATTTTTTTTTAATTTTTATTTTTTTGTCTTTTTTTAATTCTCCTACGTTGGCACTCTTCCGGGTCATATTCGTATCACGCGACACTGGCCTCCCCCGGCCCATACACGCATCAATATACACGATACACTTGTTCCATTTCGTTTTATTTCCTGATTTTTTTTTCTTTTAATAAAGGGTCTGTTTTCCGTGTTGGCCTGCTTGCGGCTAGGACAGATATGGAACACGTGATTCAATTTTAATTCAATTTTAATTGGTTAATTAATATTATCATGTTGACCTCATCATCTCATAAATCACGTTGTTGCGTTCAATTCTTACAAAATGTATAGCAACAAATTAATGAATTTTTTGGTTTACTTTCATAAATAACAAAACTTCATTATAATATCTTTGATGTTAGCTGTAAAAAAATGCAGTTCAATTAAAATATTGTAAAAAGCGGAATAAATATTTCATTTTTAATCAAACTAAGGTCCACATAAAACCGATTGCCTTACCAGTATGCACTCCCTCTGACTGCATGGCCAAAGTCCCACCACTGAGATGATGACGTCACAATCGTAACATGAACACGGAGTATGACGTCAGCAACACACATCGCAACGCCATTCAAAAAGAGAAATGACGTCATAGTGTGTCGAGGCACGTGTCCGTGCCATATCTGTCCGGCGGCAGTTGTAAAGCTAGGGCTGCGCACGTAGGACGGTGTCGAATGGGGCGTGGAGCCGCGCGTCGTAGAGAGATGTTGTTGGCAGCCCCGCCCCGTGCTGGAGACCGAGGTGTAGTGGCGGCCGCGCCGCCCGCGCCTGCCCTGCCGGACGCCGACGGTACAGCCCGGACGCGGCGACACTCGCCCGCACGCACCGCACTCCATCTGTGCCCCTAGCTCCGTTACTGGAGATGCAATCCGCGAGGTTCACTCCGAACCCATGCTGCCAATCATGCAGACGCTAAATTAAACGAGGATTGAAACAATTGGAATGGAATGTGCAAACATAGATGTGTGTGATTTGTAGATACAAAGCGAGTAGAGTGTCGTCGAGTAACCGTTAGCATTTCAATAGTTCTGTTTTCTCGTCTGTTATGCATCTACCCACGACTTCTGGCTGTAGATCTCGCCCTGTCCCCCAGTGCTCCCGTACTGGCACCGTCTCGTCCGCCGCCCCCGTCAGCACCCTGTCTCCGCGACGAGCTACCGCCGCACGTCGCCCCGACCGCGTCCCAACTCGTCCCGCTTTGTGATGTCACTCTCTTGTCTCCAGTCAGCCAGTCATTTAGCCACGTGTTTGTTTTAGCAGTTTATCGCAGCACCTTAGTTCTTTTGTTTTGTATTACTTAGCTGTGAGCATGGCGCCCACCGTTTCCCCAGCACCGGACTCACTCATCGTGCCATCGTCACTTCGGTAGTGCATAGTTAGCCACGAGGTCTCTCGACTAGTTGCATGTCGTAGCCACGACGTAGCGTCCCATCGTCCCCTCCACAGACGTCCCCGAACTCTGAATACAGACAACCGGCTAGGTCAGGGTAGACAAAGAACATCCACACCACACTCTTTGATATCGGTGGTCGGCGCCGCGCGGGCGGGGCGTGGCGTGGCGTAGCGCGGATGGGTCGGCTCGCTCGGCTGACGGCGTGTTGTTGCAGCTGCGCGTGGTGCGCGCCTTCAAGTCCACGCTGGAGGACCTGGAGGAGCGCCTGTCTGCGCACTCGGCGGCGGGGCTGCGCTCGCGCCTGCGCGGGCCGCCGCCCGACATCGCCTACATCGACGCGGACGACGTGCCGGCCGCGCCGCGCACCGAGACCACCATATTCTGAGCTCGCCGCCCGCCCCGACCCGAACCGACCGACCACGAGAACGCACTCTAGACGTTTTATTTTTATTCTATGCGAGTTTTTCGTTTGTTCCCGGCGGCCCGGCCGTCGATCGTACTTAACGCCGCAATCTCCCGCGTAATCTCACCGCTACACCGCGCCCCTATCTCGTTTCAGTCTCGATCGTGTTTACGCTTTAATCATTAATCGACTCTTAATTTAGTACGTTAAGAATTTTTATTAAGTGTTGAAACTTTTTTAGTGCTAGGTAGTTGATAGAGCAATAACTACTAGACGATGTTAGCGGCCCGATGTTAGGCTCCTAGACCGAATCGTGCCTGTTATCGCGCCGTGTGCCGTGCGCATGCGCGTGCTGTACATTGTCAAATCATATTATTGTAACCTGTTGATGTTAACGTTTCAATAGAGAATGTTTGCATATTTTAATAGTTGACAAGTGAGCATAAGTTAGTGTCGGGACCCCTGTTTCTTATACGTAGGATATACGACTCTTTCTACCGATCATTATGAATGAACACTGCTATTTTAGAGATGAACATATTTGTACATAACTTAGTGATCTTCTGAACGTCTTTTTATTAATATCGGAGCAGTGATATTTTGTATAGGTAGCTAACTAGCTATATGAAACTAAATGATGAAACTCCAATTTAAATTGTAAACTTTTTAATAATCCTTGAACTTCGAAATTTTACGAAAAAAAAAGTATAAATTTAATAATAATTACTTATAAATAAAACTTTTGAAAGTTTTGAACTTCGTCACTTACTTAGCTTTTTGTGTAAGTAGTTTGGTACGAGAAAATAATATTATGATTACTATGAGATATTGAGGGTACTTGGCAGCTTGTGTGTTTTGTTTCATAGTAAATTTTGGGACCACTTTTAACCCCTTTCTATCTTTGAGATCTATATCTTCTTTATATATCGGTAAAGAGACGAATAATTTGTCTATAAATAAATCACTTAATATTAATTAATTAAACTTACATAGATTCTTATGTATATGCCTAAAGTTTAGTATGAATGAGACACTTCACGCTTAAAGAGAAACCGAAAGAGCTCTATAATAAAATAAAGTGTACTATAAATTTCAAAACTTGGTTTTTGCGAAAATGTTACGAGAAAAAAAAAATATTTACATTGAAAAATAAACTGTAAGCAAATTCCATAGCATTTTTTTTCGCCTGTCTTTGTTCTGGTGGGGGTGGCCATTTAGCCCATACGCTCTATTTCAGATGTTGACGGTAAGTTTAGGTCTGACGCATAGGAAGCGTACTATTGTAAGTATTGTCAGATAATGTAGGTACACGTTCAAACAATAAGTTGATTAGAGCATGGAATCCGTGGTGTCTGCACTTGGCTGCCCGGCGTCTTCGGTCTCCACGGTCTTATTGAATCATATCCACTGTTCTATGACCTAAAATTTCGCTGAAACAAAAACTAAACATTATATGAACATAGTATTCATGTATACTAAATATTTGGTTCCACTAAAGTACTATTTTGGTAAAATAGTTTTGATTTATTTACCACTGGTTGCTTTTACACCTAAATAACTATAACAGTTGTGTATCATTCAATAAGCCGTTACGTACACCATTAAAGGTGAGACCTCGAGCGGCCATCTTGTGACGTCACTGTCGACAAAATGGCCGCCGTATCTAGTTTGTAAGTACTGAGCATTATTAATGGAGCAAATGTATATTATTTTGGTACAAAATGTTGTTTCTTTGATTTTGATTTTTTTTTATTATTTTTTTATTGTTTTTGCTTCGCATTTACAGTGTGATCATGCTTATATTACAGTGTTTTGCATGTAAACTGATGTCTGTGAGTATTGCACAATTTGTAATTTTTTTCCTTTTTTTTTTATTAATTATTGTTAATGTAAGTAGATGTTTGTAACAAGAGTTTCTGATAATATATTTTTCATTCTATTAACTAAATATTATCAGATCCTCAATGAAAGGTTTTATATCCGAATTTTTCATTTTTATTACTGTTATAACAGTTGAACGTATAATAAAAATGGTTATATACAACCACGATAACTTACTTACAAAACTTTCTAACACCGTAGACGATAAGATAAAATATATTCATGAAAATAAAATCAACGCATAAACTAATATTATCTCCACTATTACACCAAAATTAGTGAACTAAGTGTTATACATTATACCTATATATAAAAATAATAAACAAAACGGCTCTTACATTATTCACTTAATTTTTCTTTTATTTTTTCATTAACTCGGTTGTGTATGTACTTATATAATAAGTTGATTTTCGTAATCTTTTATTTATTTTTGAGTTTTAATGTAACGATGCGTTTTATTGTTAAATAATACATACTTAACCGGCACTATAAATCACTATAGAAAGTAAAAACTCATTATAATAAAAGTATTTATTTGACAAAAAATTTGAATTTTATTTGTACCTCAAACACGTTGATAGTATGCCGCTGAAGTTCGAATGCAAATTACCGCGAAGTAGCTCACATACCGGACCATTTTTGATCATTCTGAGTAGCAGTAGTTCCCTCACGGTATTTATACTATATTTTCATATTATTATTTTGTTTATATATTTAGTATTTGCTACTGGATGCCCTCGACCCCGACCCAGCTAGTGAATGCCCCTATCCTAGTTACAGTTAGGCACTTTACTAAGAGACTGCTTCCTACAAATATTTCCATAGTTATCTATAGCTACAACTCTTCACTATCAGTAGTTGTGGTGTTCTAAAGCCAAATGATGATTGTTACTGGATTGTTCCTATACATTAGTCATGATGCCGTTTGATTTTGGAACGCCGCTGGCGAGTTTCCACGTATCACGTCGGCTAGCGCCGCGCCGGCGACAGCTGGTCTGGTAGTTAGGAGAGTGCCGGGCGCGTACTGACACGTCCGTCATGTTGTTTTGCAGCAAAAGGCGGACATATTGGCCGGTCGCAGGATATTTGTCAATAATTATTTGGCGGAGCACCGAAGGATCAGCGTGCAATCTGGCGGCAGCTCCCTGCCCGCTCTCAGCCCGGTATCGCATCAGAGCGATGATTAAATGCCCCAATTAATAATAATAACGACACTAAAGTGAAACTAACGAGTAAACATACACGGACTCAAACTACTGCCATTTAATAAACTAAAACATAACAATCGAACGAAATATTCTAAATATAATGACTAATAACAGTTTTTCGCTAAAATTTCTAAAACAAGTAATAGTCATCTTTTTGAAATCTCTTAAAAATGTAAATGCAGTAGATAGTTAAGAATTGTTTATTAAAATATAAGTAAAACATTAGATGATTCGCTAAATATATTAAATTAGATTTATATGATAACTATGGTGCACCTCTGTTTACATGGAGTATATTAGATTTTGAGCAAATTATTTTATGACCGGTATATATAATTAAAACTTTCTGATATATTTTAAATTAATATAATCGTGTTAATTTTTTCTGTAAATATATAAAACTAAATCTCATCTTTTCCTTGTAATTAATATGTTTAAAAATAACTGTTGTGTGTTAAAAATTAAATAAAAGTATAAAATACGGATAAATTCATGTGCCATTTTTATATATTATAAAAAGTAAATATTGAAAAAAAAAATACAAAATACACAATTTGTGCTATTCAAGTGCTTTTATAAACGTTTTTAATAATAAGATGATATTTAAATTTGCTTGTTTATTATTTTTATTTTATTATTGTTATTATTTATTGGAGGAATGCGATATAGATGTTACATTTTATTACCTTTAGTGTTAGATGATGTGTCTTTTATTATTCTAGAAGCTCGTTGTGTTTTATCTTTAGTAGTTGGCGGATTTGATTCGTCTGTATGTGTCGGCCACAACTACAAAACACAAACGCTATGCTCATATTTTTCTAGACGTAAACATCGGTTTAGCAGACGGTAGAAGTGTATGCATTAATGTTATATGGCACAATACTATAGTTTGTTTTTTAAATCTTGCATGTACCTTATCGGAAACTTTTTACTATGAATCTATGTTTTCTTTTATACTATGTATGCTTTGTTAATTTGTACCACCTGGGTCGATTCCCGCGTTGTACAAACTTACCAAAGTACCTTCCTCTACACTACACAACTGTCCACTATTCTTTAGTCTTCCATCTCATTCTAATTTTATTTATTTCTTCTTCACCAAGGTATCTCAAGCAAATTTAATTATCATTCAAATGTTATGTGGTAAAGTTTAATATATGTTTATATGTTAAGTATATACTAAATATTTAATAAAACCTTCGTGTATTGAAACTTAAACTATAATGCACCACAAGTAGTTCTAAAGTCATGCCTGCTATCAATGCTAAGACTTAGAAGAGGATAGTATACAAAATTAACTATTATACTTAAACTATGGATGAATAATCGTGTCTTGGTGTACACCAAAAATTTAGATTTAAATATAAAAATACGTTTTTTCAAAAATTTAAATAATTATGCTTGTAGTAGGTACGAACACGGCGATAGTGACTCACGTAATTTATTAAAGCAACCATAGCAAAGCATGAGATCTCGCTACTACTATCTAACTCGGTATTATCAACTGGTACTGTTAATTCGTTATTTCTAACGCTTCTTGTCTCTTAAACTTTAGTAATAAAGTATCTATACTCCAAAAGTAACTTTCATTTCACCTGCCACATTGTGGAGAGCTGCAATAATAAGGTAAACTTGCAGTTTTGAGAACGTTGATGTGTCGATGTTGGTCCAAATGTTTGTTGTTGGCGGCCTGTGGCCAACATGGGCCCTTTATGTCGTACGGTCTAGTTCGATGTTAGATCCGCTTGGCGCTTACACGCTGTGACTTGTACAGTAGACTCACGAGGCATGGACTAGTGACTAGACGTTGTCTCTGCGTATATGCACATACAGCATACAAGGTAAACGAAACTTTTTCTTATTCGCACTATACTAAGGCTTATATTTGTACTTACACTTGTATGTAACATATATGCATTGACAAACAATTAACTAGAATAGATACGTGCTCAGCTTTAAAAATAATTGCCACGCTAAACTAAATCTAATGTAAATAGTAACACATGTTTAAATCGACAACCCAGGATATCACAGATAGCAAGAAAATTAAATGTATAGGCATCATTTAGTTTAATATCACCCTGTATTATATGTACTTGCTTATGTACAATAGTTGTGAGAAAGCTTGATTAGATTGTCCTATACCGGTACATATATGTAGGTACATATTTATCTGGTATGTGAGCGACTTCGGCGACCCAACGATGTGTGTGCTTCATAGAATAGATCGCATGTAATTATTGAACATACACACAAGTGCCGAATGTTAACAACGACACAAACACACACACACATACACATACATGATTTTATTTTAAACAAAGTACCACGGAACCCATACCTTAGAATAAGTGTTCAATGTTAAATGTCCATTATTATTATGATATTGTATTTTGTTCTATTAGTTATTATTTTTTTATGTCAATTGTTTTTTTTTTATACTTTTTTTTTATAAAAGATGGATGTAACGGAGCCCTGGATGGAAAAATATATAAAAATTATAGTATATAAGTGCACACCCCATGAATGTGCTTCTTAAGGTACTTTATAGGAGATACCCCGCGTCTTATATCTTTTAGTTTTCTTTACTGTGTATCTTATATATATTATATACTTCTTCTAATATCTTGCTCATCGCTTCGCGAGGCACACTGCTTCGTCTAGTCCCCCTAATGAACTTCTATACTTTCTGATATTACACTCTGTTGATAATATATCACTGCTAAGCGTTGGACGCGATTCTACATCCTTGACTTCAAAATATATTTATTAAAACTCTTATTAGACGGTCCAATTATATATAAAACACAATGATATATATCATATACAGTAGAATCGCGTCGAACCCCGAGCACCGCAGTATATATCTATGTATTCCTTCCGCGCCGCTACTCGGCGGCGCGTGCGCCTCTCTGTGTCGTACCTTTTACTTCATGTTCTCGTTTTTATTTTCTTTTCCATGAATACCCAATTGCACACGGAAGGTGATAGGTGGCGAGTTACAAGAACGATTGATACCCGTCCCCTACAGCAAGACGTCAACCGACCAAGCTGTAAGATTCACATTTATGAGAGGACCGCCTGTTTCACTCACATTATATTATTTATTTAACTATTTTTATGTTAACATTTTTTCGTTTTTTATATGTTCAAAATGTTTTAATACTGTACTCTGTCTATCTACCTACAACTTATCCGTTCTTATATGTTCCCCACTTGCTTGTGTGTTGTAGTGTTGACTGTGCACTTCCACATTTATATATTACACTTTTTATACTCCTTTATATACGCTTTTACACTGCGTTTTATCAAATATCTCCTATATGAATGCTTTTCCCGCACTCTGCTGCTTTCTCTCGCCCCTAGAGCGTACACTACACTAGCCTCATCGTATACAGGTTAGTTTTGCCAGAGATCTGCAGAAAAAAAAAGAATCTGGATATTTAGTAATCTACCATTAATTCCAAAGATCTCCTGAATATAACTCGCCCTGTATATTGAATATAATCTGTCGAAGTGCGCCGGTCTGTCATTGCATGATCATTTGCATGTTTCCTGACGCATGCGCTGTGTTATTCATCCGTAATAATTATACTATATAATAACCCTTATATATCTAATCCACCTTGGGCTGATTTTGGGTGTGTCGATTAAAAAAACACATTTTTTTCACTATTTTTGTGAGCAAATTAAATGTGAAACTGTGTTGTATATTAATCGGCTTCAATTATAACTTTTTTATAATAATTATTAATTATAAGCTTTACTTATATTAATGTAATATAATTGCACCTTTTTTGAAATAAATATTAAATCAAAACTTGAAGTCGATTTCCTTGACGTTGAATGCAATGTAAATATGAATGAATGTAATCTTAACTCGATGTTAACATTGTTTTATTGTTGTGTTAATAGTTTATTAATTAATAATAATAATTTAACACAAATTTCGAACAATGGATTATTAAATTATTATGATAATACTTAGGTAGACAGGTGTCTATTGGCTAAATTCTAAACTGTAAATAGTCAACCGATTTTAGAAGTCCCTAAGTAGAACAAAAAGCTTTTATATTATTTTGGCAACCATACATCATGGCATAGTGATTTTGTTTTTATCTTTTGCCTCACATTATGCACTTACGGCCGATCCACACATTCGGGACTTGCGTTCCTCTATTGTAAAACTCGCTACAGTCTTTTACAATAGACCAAATCTACAAGTACCCACAATGTGTGACCGCGGCACTTAATTCGTCAATTCGTGGGGTCCTACGATAGTAGTGCCATAAAAAGCCAGGGATTCGTCATAATAGCTTTCAATTCATTTTAAAATCTAGAAGCATCCGAGGTCATTTTTAATCTAAATAGCTTTTAGAAATACAAAATTTTCCTCTATATCTCTGTCATAGGCTAGTCCAACGCTTTGCGTTACGTAACATGTTGGTAAGGGAAGGAGACGATCGTGAGGTTGTGTCAGCTTGCTTACATAATTTCGGATATAGGACGTTGTTGGGTAAAGCGATGTGTTGCTTCGTTCATGTGCAATGTATTGTGTAAGTAGGGCAACCGCATTAACATAGAGCTTTCGCGCGTAGCTCACATAGTGATGAGTATACAGTCACAGAGAGGTAGGAGTGCTGCATGTCCACGAGGTAGTCCTCCGACACGCGACTCGACGGCCGCGGGTGTCTGTATTCAGAGGGAGGTCCCGAGCGAGCCGGCGGCGCCCGCCCAGCCCCACTGCATGGCATGGCTCGCCAACACCTACATACATTCTGTGACTGGAATTTTCAATTACCTAACGCTTTCTTGCCTCTTTTTTATGGTTCGGTGTGCTTCTATATGTTGACATTGTACATTCATGGTCTGGTTGCCCCTACCGCCGGCGGCGCCCGCGCGGCCGGCGGCAGGGGCTCACTGCCGTGGCCCGACATACGTCGCGCTCTGAGCGACGCCGCGTCCGCCCACTAACACGCCACCCGCTATTCTATGGCACTCCGTGTTCCTCGTGTTAGTCGGCGCGACGGGTCGCCGGCCGCTTACTGGCCACACAGGGCGCGGCGCATGTCCTCGCGCGGCCACCGACTGACCGCGCGGTGCGTGCGCAGATCCGCGTGGTGAACGCGTTCCGGCAGGGGCTGGACTCGCGCGGCTCGCTGGCGGACGCGGCGCTGGCGGAGGCGCTGCGCAAGCAGACGGCGCTGTCGAAGCGGTTCTCGCACTCGTCCAGCATCGAGTACGCCGACGCGGCGCGCGACACGCTGGCGCCGCACGACATCGACGTGGAGCGGCTGTCCAGCCACAGCCACACCGAGACGGCCGTGTAGCGCCGCCCGCGCCCCGCGCCCGCGCCCGCGCCCCGCGCCCAGCCCGCGCCCGCGCCGCTCATGGATGCAATAATTTAGCGATTAATATCAGTATTATGGACGCCGCCCCGACACCGACCGTGCCCGCGCACGTTACTCGAACCGTTACGCTGCCATCGCTCTAATTATATTATTATACATACGAGTAATAATAATGCTAAAACGATTGTGTATAAAATCATATTTTTAAAGGTAACGAGGATGACAAGTTTGGTATATTGAGTTAGACACGTATGGTTGAGGGTGCCGGTCGAGCCGGGCGCCCGCACTAGTCTCGCAGCCACCAGTGTACTTGAGCATAAGTTATATTGTTAACTAGTGTGTTTAATTATTCGATTGTTTTGAAAATATTTTATTATTATACGCGCGCGTCGCGATGCGCGCGTCTGTTGAACAAATAAAAAAAATATTGTCTAATTATTAATTTTAGATTTAAGCGCAAGGATGAGCGAATGGAAGTGTGTTTTTTGAAAAAAAAAAATAAAGTTTTCGCATAGCATCGTGTCATCTCTTACACGGAATGAAATGTTTTATATTGCTTTTGTCAAAGACATGTTGTGGGAGAGTGGCGGGCGGCGGCCGCGGCGGGGCGCGGCCTCATCTTTTGTATAAAGTTATTTCATTTGTAGCGCCGATCATCGTTTGTACGTACGCCGAGTGATATTACGCGCCGCGCCCGGCCCCGCCCGCGCTAACTAAATATATATACTTAACTAAATTATTCAACTATTAGTTAAGGTGTTTGTTATAAATTTCAATAACTTTTTTTGTTTTTACGACCTTTTTCCCCTAAATCTAAGTATACATTTAAGTCATATCTCGAAGCGTAGACGCATAAACTGAAAAGTTTCTATACAAGAACCGTAAGCAACATTCTTGTGTAAAAACCGACGTAGTCCACTTTGAACATCTTCAAAATGTTTCAAATAGAAATATACATTAAAATTGTATAGCTGAAGGTATTTATTTGTAATGCTAGTCTCTTATGAAACAAATACTAATTATTCAATTATTATAATGTACTTATTGATTATTGATAAATACTTGAAGTTTATTAAACAAGATATAGTCTACGGTGTAACGAATTGATTTCGGAATTCTTTGTCTATGAGCAATAGCGAGGCGCTCCACATAGGCGACGTAGGATCGCAGCCGTGGCATTTTCAACTTATTACGTAAGACATGTACTTAATCGAGTTAGTGACGAGTCGAACGCGGCGACCGCTCGCCGACCGCAAGCCGACCGCTCGCCGACCGCAAGCCGACCGCTCCCGGCCACTTGTTATAGTATTATATGAGTATAAATAATGAATCAAAACGATCTAGCGAATCGGCAATGTTCAATTTTGTATAGAACGTTTCATAGTAGCGGTATTTGAGAGTTGTTACGTTTGGTTTGTGAGGTTCGTTGGTAGGCGCGTTCGTAGCCGCACGACGCGACGCGACCGCACCCGACGAACGAGTGGCGCGACAACTATTAAAACTATTAAACAATCTTGTAAGTAATTAAGTATTAGCTTCGAATCAATAAAAGCCTTTTTAAAAAAAATTAGTTAAAAAATGAAACTATTGAAACTTCACAATGTTTAAATAAAATAATATTAGTTATGATTTCAGTGAATAGAGAGATTATGGTATCTTTTTGTGTATTATATGATATATTGTTTCGTTGATATTCGTTACCACGAGTTCCCCAATGAAAGACATGTAATTAGGAGTCGATATCTTAGCGGTGCGTGCAGACGCGCCAACCTTTCCCTAACAATCAATTTGTTTGACACGACAGTCTGCCACTAACCATATTAGGTGATAAGTCCCATTGTTGTATTTTTCGTCTCACAATAAATGAAAATCTATTTTATTGTTTTTATACATGTGTTTTATTTTTATTGCCTTTGTTAGCTCTGCAGATTTACACGCCATCTGCATGAGATATAACATTTGAGAGTTTTGAAATCGAAAATGAAAATATTTGACTAAAATAGAAATAGGATCTCTCTGGTAGTCTGATTCAATAAATATGGTTGGGTAACCATTGAACGGAACCTGGAGAGTGCCGTAAGCAAGAACCTCATAGGCCACCCTAATTTTTTGACCCACGACTGCCGCTCTATTTGCAGTATGGCACATGCGGCGCCCCTCCGTAACGTGGCGCCCAAGGTACTTACCTAGTCATAATACGGCTCTGGTCAGTATATTTATTTCTTGAGTACAATAAAGATAAATGGTTCATTAGTATGAGCATTCTTTTTAGTAAATATGCCCTTAATGTGGCTAAAGGCGAAAAAATTAGATCATACAATTCATGTAGATAATTTAATCATAGCAATGTACATAACAGAGAGCGAGGAACGTAAAGACATGATTACAATAATAAACTAGTATACAGCACACGAAATTCAAAGTTAAAAAAATAAGAAATTAATTAACCACACAGCTTTAATAAACCAAAAAATAAATATGACATTAGGATAATAATATTTACAGATGTAAAAAAAATAAATGAGACATATTATGCAAGTTAATTACAAACAAAACAACATTCATCAAAATTACTGACTATACCAGTCAACACAACATTAAACATTTTAGACATAAATCGGATACCGAGGGTTGTCATCCCAAGGGTACCTAGGACGAGGGTTGAAAGGTGGCAGTGTGGGCAGAGGGAACTTGTAGTCAGGCAGGTGTAGAGACCTGGCGTTACGTCTGTTATACCCTGGGTGAGTGGGTCCTGTGTCCCGGCTGGAGGACCTCCGGCTGCCACCTCCGTGCGACACGTGCGAGGGAGTGCTCAGACTGCGCGCCGTCCTCCTGTTGGGGTCCATTCTTACATCGTCAATAATAGATGGCAGCACTGGGTGGTCGGCTGATGAAGGCGCCTTCGGTACGTCTCCTTGGTACAACCAGAGTGGTTCATCACCCGCGTCACGCCGAGCTCTCATTATGACGGGCCTTCTTGGCGGCGGTGGAGGCCGGTAAGTAGGACGAATTATCAACTGACATGCTGATTCAGCGATCAAGAAGACCGCGAGAACTGACAACACTATTACCAACTTCGACATCTTACTTTTACTGTCTTTCTCTTACTGATGCGTCTGTTAATTACAGTTCGGTATTTATACAGCGTCTCAAGGCAACCGAGGTACTTACCCCCAGATAAAATGATTCGTTTGAAAGAGGGAAGAACCTCACGGTCCATTGTTTATTATTGTTCAATTTTTCCTCTTGCTCCAGTCGTATGTGATAATATTTTCAAGTCGTTACATACAAAGCTTATCAATATTATTTATTTATTTATTTATTTATTTATTTAAGCTTTAATGTACACAGAATCAAGTAATGGTACATAAGGCGGACATTAATGCCATATGGCATTCTCTCCCAGTCAACCTTAGGGTTAAATTGAAAAACGGCGAAAAAATAGGCATGTGTAATTATAAGAAACAAATAACATAAATAGACTTTAATATATATTATGTAGGTGCATACTACATATCTACCGACACTATGTACCTAAAGCAAAGTTGTAAATCGTATTAGTCATTACAATGTGATCGGAATAATTATGTCAATTCTTTGTGTGATCATCACGCAACTAAAGAATTGATCTGCACGGGAATACGTTACATAGTAGCCAGCCCAGCCAACCGTATGATAATTATTGAATTTAAACTAAACCTAATTTTAATCTAAGTTCTATACTGTTTGGCCATTGACTTCTCTGACTGTGCTATGAGCAACTATTAAAATACCTTAAAAATAAAACAACAACGCTTGATAGTTTACATTTTTAAAGATGGTCTCTACTTAAAATCTAGATTTACAGGAGTTACAGATTTCCAGTGGTCGGGTAAGCCGTAGAAGGTTTATGCCAAAATAAAAACACTCAGTGTAGAAACTCGGCGCAGTGGCTAGGCAACGAGCTGCTACGTGTACCATGTGTTGCGAGATCGATTCTCGCACGGAACAATTATTTATAACATAAACATATCATCTAGTCTTTTATCCCCGAAGGCATCCCCCAGGCAGACGTGCACATTACGATACTTAATACAATGTTACACCCTACATCCCCATTTCACTATTTATGTTATGAGTCCCATGTAATAGAGAGTGAGCCTATTGCCATATATCGGGCACAATTCCAGACTACGTGCTACTACTGACGTTAAAAAAACCAGTGATATCTACTTGCGACTCTGCGAACGAGGCAGACAATTGCTAGGTACACAAATTGTTGTTTTGGGTCTAGGTGTGATGTGTATGTGAATCTGAATATGTACCTATAATTATGTATGTTTGTAAACGCACCCACGATGTACTTAGATGAAAATCCTAGAGTGGAGCCACATCTAAGAAAAAATGGGCTGGTAATTGATGGGCATGCAGGGTAAGGAAAACTACGGCTGGAATATGTTCACTTATAAAAATTTTAAACATCTTGAAAATGAATATGTGTATAGGTAACTAACTACTAACATTTCTTGAAGGGGAAGCCCATTAGTAAATCTGACAATACGTACCCCAAAATCTAGAGGTTCTAACTAAAATTGCGACATTTTTATACACTCCTTTATGTAAACATATTTTTCCGTTTAAAGAACAGAGAGAGGGTGACATCGGCTAAAATAAAGAACATGGAAACTCTTGTCTGAAAATTATTTTGTTTTTAATGAATTATACTTAGCTATATCCAGCTCGCTTTGCTTTTTTTATTGATGTTGTTATTTATTTTGTTATATTATTGTTTGTTTAAATAATTAATAAAATTTAATGCCACTCATGACTATTAACCCCAGGTAGTTCCCCAGGCAGTAGGGGTTCTCGGATTCGATTCCCGGGTCGGGCACAGTACCTATTAGTAGGTTTTTAAACAATTCTCAGCCGTAGCACGGGGTCTGGAATTGTGACCGATATGTAGCAATAGGCTCACCCCCTATTACATGGGACTCATAACATACCTAAATATTGAAAAGTGGATGTTACATTGTACACTGGCTTTAAGTGCCGTAATGTGCACCTATGCCTACCTCTTTGGCATAACAGGCGTGATGTTATGTTATATAATTTCAATTTCAATTGCTGATGTGTAATTGGTGGCTTGTTCGTCCGCGAGTCATTTAAGGGGCGAGTAGAATACCAGCCCGAGGCCCTGTCTTGCACATGCTGAACTGGTCCCATTTCACCGCAGACTTGAGACATGAACACTGTGTCTATCTTTACCATACTAATAAACTAACAATAATCTGTACTTGTCACTTACTTTTTAGCGTGGGAAATAAAGATTTTTCTTTCATTCTTTCTTTTATAGGGTAGGCACGGTGTCTAACTAATAACTATAAACACATTATGAATCTGGCCAGTATGTCCTTTTAAAATGGCTTTATCTTAAACACTAGAGGTACGAAGTTCCTAGAGTTGTTTTAGATTACCATTTACCGTAGGTACCTGTATACCTACTTATGCAGACGCAACTCCCTGAATGTAGGTTATCATGAATGCACTCATGATTTACAGATTGACATGTAGAAATGTGACCGATTAATTATTGTCTCGTTGGTCGAGTGATTGCAAGTGCAACTGCCGGGCAAGGGGTCTCGGCTTCGATTTCCTGGGTTACATATACTGGGTTTTTTTTAACTCGTCGAGTACCGGTTTTGTAGACACAATTATAGAACAATAGGTTGCGGTCACCGGTGACCGCTTGGTGTTTGACAGTTTAATCTCAGAAGTAGGACGGAGTCTGAAATGGCGCCCGGTCATATACCGGGCGCCCGGTATATGGCATGGGACTCATAACATAAATAGTGAAAAGTGGGTGTTTCGATTGTACAGTGGCATTAAGTGTCGTCATGTGTGGTGCACCACAGCACCACTGCCTACCCCTTCGGGGGTAAAAGGCGTGATGTTGTGTACTATTGGTGATAGTTACGAATAAGTAAATAGACTAGTAAATACTTATTTAATAGAGGATAATGAAAAATAAATCCCAATAATCCTTTGTCCGACCCGGGGATCGAACCCAAACTTTAGGCGTTAACCCTACCTCTTACTCTTAAGACTTAAGCCCTTCAACAGTAATAAAACTTACCGCCTTTTACTAATGCTTTTTTACGTGGGGAAAATCATCGAATGACTTCTCCCGCCCGGGTGAAGCTGGAGGGAGTGTCAGACTCTTACTGACTAAAAACCACCCTGTTCCTACTCCTGCCTTTCGAGCCGGAGCCCCGGTAACCCGATAAGTAATTCCTCCGCGGCTCCGTATCGGTTTCTTTAAGACTTAACAGTTTAGTGATTAGTGGTCCCTTACCCTAGTACTACCTATCTCAAGATAATCCCCTTAAAAAGTTAGGTATATCTGATAATGGATGCACATAACATCTCTGAAAATATAAGCTCCTTTCTATCTAGGACAGCTTGGCGTGACGACATACCTAATACCTTGACAATGTTTAAAAAAACAATGTTCCAGTAAGATTTCATTATGTTTTTTATTTTCAAATTACCATAACTATGTTTATATATTAAATTGAATTTTCTGGAAGGGCCTGGAAGTATGTAGGCCCACTTAACATTAACTTCCAATTAAACATTACTGTTCAATATTACCAGAATACAGTTTTTCCTATATTACAGCCTTTCAGACAAATTTAACAGTGGGTAACGAATAGTGAATTAATTGATAAACCAGAATATTTTGTAAAACAGTTTATTTAATGTAAGTACATTGCAACAATACATTAGACGTATCACATAACAAATAGAGGTACATAAAAAATTAAAAATAATTATTAAGTACGGTACGGGTAGGTACCAATATTGACAAATAAAGAGCAAATTACATTGATGTACTTAGGTACCGACTGCCAAAGTTACCAAGTGTATACTGGTCCTAGTGGTTCCTGGCGTAGATGGGCATCTTCGGAGGACGAGGATTGAACGGTGGCGTGGTGGGTATGGGTATCCTATGGCTTAATCGTTTGTTAATAGACCTCGCGTTACGCCGGTTGTACCCCGGGTGAGTGGGTCCGGTGTCCCGGCTGGAGGACTTCCGGCTGTTTCCTCCGTGCGACACGTGGGAGGGAGTGCCCAGACTGCGCGCCGTCCTCCTGTTGGGGTCCAGTTTCACGTCGTCAATGATAGATGGGAGCACTGGGTGATCACCCGACGAAGGCGCCTTCGGTACGTCTCCTTGATACAACCAGAGCGGCTCGTCACCCGCATCACGGCGAATTCTTAAATGAGGACGAACTGGTCCCACTGTGTAACGTGGCCGTGGAGGTCTGTACGTAGGTCTAATGAATTTCTGGCATGATGACTCAGCGACCAAAAAGACCGCGAGCACAGAAAGTACAAGAATTACTTTACCCATCTTGATTCTTCAATCACCTTTCTTCGACTGATGTCTATAAGAATAAAAGTGTAATATTTATATGATTTCTTAAGGAAACTGAGGTGCTTACTCAAGATGTGTGTGTATAAGGAAACTGGGAAGAACCTGGTCATTGTTGTTTGTTTGCAAATATTTCCTCATCTGTATGTGTCACATAGCTGATAGCGCCGTCTGATCGTGTTGAATTGAGTTGCTTATTATTTGTACATTGATAGTTGCAGTTACATGTTATTAGATATTGTTATTGTAGGTAGGTACTTATGTAGCATAACTGGCTCTCGGAAAGCGTTTATATGTACCTAGGTTAATAGACTTGCTTACCAACTTAAATATATTATGCTACTAAACTATATACCTGTGTGCCAATTACGTTATAGTCTCATGTAATAGGGCACGTATCTATTGGAATGACGTGTGCCGAGAATTTCTAAATGCTTTGGTAAAACCAATGCGAGAAATTGCATTCAGAGAAATCCAATTCTAGACCAATTAACCATCAATTGTGCTTGAAACACACAATGTTTGTGAAAATAGGTTTTTGTAATTGATTTTTTAGGTACAGCAGGCATGTATTTGTTTATCCATTATGGATTTAAGACCTAGATACTAATTATACTTACCTACTTACCTAAGGGGATTTTTATCTACTCATTGTATTACAAATATTAACATAGCATACAACTGCATCTGTTGATAAAAATTATCGTAAGACGGTAATTTCATTTCAAAATCTAATAACTTTACTGGACTATTTGTCGACAAACCTAATTGTAACATCATGACTTAATTCCGAAAGAGCATGGCCCCAATTACCACATAAGAAATTAATTCACCTGGCTTAATTCTATATTCCGTTCCAGCTTAGACGTTAGGAATTCTTAAAAATCCGAAAATCCCCAAAATGTTAGGAATTGAATCAAAAATCCCTTGCTCAGCAGCAAAAATTTGCTGGAAAAGTACTAAAATTAAGTTAGTCATAAAATCAATCACAGAAAGTGTGATTATTTTTCTATATTTTATTGTAAATTGTTATGTTTTTTTTTTAAGGGGGGAAAATCATCGAATGACTGCCCCCGCCTGGGTGAGGCGGAAGGGAGTGTCAGACTCTTACTGACTAAAAACCACCCCGTTCCTTCTCCTGCACGTCGAGCCGGAGCCCCGGTTACCCGTTAGGTTCTCCGCGACAAATTGAAGCCGTAAATTGTTATGTTTATGCCTATGTTGTGAAGAAGCAGCTTACTATGAAATAATATTTTGAATCGGTAATTCGTTTTTGCGTGAAAACATAACAAACATGCATCACACAGATATTATAAATGTAAAATTTTCTTTATTTGAAAGAAAGAAAGAAAAAACTTATTTCACGCCAAAAAACAAGTGACATGTATAAATAGGTAAGTAATTGTATTAATGAGTGTCGACGTATTGAGTCTCAGAGGTATCAGGTGTTTAGTTTTAAGAGCTTTGATATTGGTTTTTATCAGTGTTTTAGCGTCACCATTGTCATCTGAGGCTAGAAAATTGTATCGTTTAATTATTTTGTGTTTGAGCTTAAGGGCTAGTTAAACCTAGAAACGGTTTAGCTGCTTTATTTTGTATCATATAATAGGGCTGACATTTTCCTCTAAGGAAAAAAGGCAAGCAAAAAGATTTAAAAAAATTGTATTAGTAGGTTCTGATGGATACATGTTCAATTGTTCATGTCCCAAGTCTGCCGCAAAATGGGATTTGAATGTTTGTCCGTCAATCACTCTGAAACAACTGAACGGTGGTAGATGAAATTTGGTATACAGACAGGGTATGCTCTGACTTAGGTGATAGAATATTGTTTATCCTGATTAAATACTCCCATGTGATAAAACGAGAATACGCGGGCAAAGCCGCGAGTAAAAGCTAGTACCTACATATCTAAATACAAAACCACTAAAGTTTCCGCTAAATGCTAAATAATATTAGCATACATTGATATTAGATAGATACAGTGGCCAGTAAGGTACTCCACTAACTACTCCAATCTGCAATATTACCATTGGATTCGAATTTTCGACTATGCACCAAAATAATAATTTTAAAATACAATTACAACATTGAAAGAAGCGAATACTCTGACCTGCTGGCCAGTTCTTTAAATCTCTGCATCTCTGCCTATCATTTCGGGGAATAACAGACATGGGTTTTATTTATAGTTATTCACAACTTATCAGGAAAATTAATTATTATCAAACGAACTATTTGATCTTTTATCTCATTTTATATTGAACGACCTTTAAGATAATATTCTTGGGGGGAATACCGTTCCCGATTTGTTTGGGGCAAAGGACCTATAGGATATTAGATATACATAAAATATTACGTGAGGTGCCTAAAAAACCAACCCGTTCCTACTCCTGCACTTCGTTAAGTCTTTCGCGGCTCCGTATCGGCATCAGCCCTATTGAGCTTCATCTGTGGTGGTCTGATGGCTACTTGAGGCGCGCGCGGAACGCGACGTGCCGTACGCTCGGGCCTGGTTCTGGTCGGGCGGCGAGTGCCCGTGCTTACGGTGGCTAGAGATCGTCTCGCGATCCCCGACGCCCGGAATGTCTCTCGCGACGGCCGGGGCGTAAGGAGGTTCGTTCCCTCACGCGCTCCGCCTCCTCCTTAGCTTAGCTAACATGACTGCTTCGCAGAAGGAGGAGACAGCATCCCAGTCCCACACGCTCCGTACCATGGTCTGAACCAGAGCCGGACGCGAGAGGTCGCCGTCGCCGAAATCGTACGTGAGGTGCTTAGGTGTGTACGGGGTGCATTTATAAATTCAAATATCTACACACACAGTTTAGGAGTAATAATATGTTAATTGCAAAAACGAAATTTTGAAAACATCATAAAATTATCCCGTTCGGGAACCGAACGCTCGATTAGTCGTGCGGCTATTCGTCACCCAACGCCCATGAACAACTGTGTAGTAGAGAACCAAATGATCTGAAGGATTAGACGTAAACGTAGGTATTCTAATAAGTTAGCCGCTCAAGTGCTGATGACCACCGGGGTGGCTTTAGTAAGGTAAAAATAATACACTCCCTTTTCTCTTCTTTTAAAGGCTAGGCACTTTTGAAGTTGGCCCCCGTCATGACTACAAAATGTATACCATACTAGCTACTTCCGCGCGGTTTCACACGCTCTGCTCAGCCCTATTGGTCGTAGCGTGATGTTTTATAGCCTATAGCCATCCTCGATAAATGAGCTACCCAACACAAAAAGAGTTATTCAAATCAGATTCGTAGTTGCGGAGATTAGCGCGTTCAAACAAACAAACTACCGCTTTATACAATAGTGTAAGATTTCTGGACTAGTCTACAATTATCTGTTAGTTGGAAGTCAACATTACATTGATAACCAGTTAATATTTTGCTAATTTATTATCGCACAAGTTAAAAACAGGCAAATACTAGATATAGTATGTACAATCTTACCTATCGCTAGCTACGGGGAATAACAAAGATACATCACAAAGAAATAAAAATAAAAAACCAGAATGATGGAGTCATACTTCGCTTATATTTACAGTGTGAACAATAAACTTAATAGTTAACTTATATCACTTGATATTAATAAATCTAACTAATTATTAGTTGATATTTGTCTTGATAGATGTGATCGGAAACGTGAGGAGGCCGGGCGGCGGCTCCGGCGGGAGGAAGTTTGGTAATGATACGCTGGGGTCTGTGGACAAACAAATCATCATCATCAACAACAGTCTATAAGTGGCCACTGCTGACCAAAGACCTCTTCTCACACGGAAGAAGGTTTGAGCATTAATCACTACGCTTGCTCAATGCGGGTTAGCGATTTCAAACTTATAACTAGAAATTATAAGCTTAGGTTTCCTCACGATGTTTTCCTTCACCGTTTGTCAGTGGTGTCTAAATAATCTTAGAAAGGAAAAAAAAATAATATTGTCAAAAATACGTTTTTTATCTATTGATACTATAGGATATATAATTTCTCAGTCAAAAACTTATCAGTTAGGCTTCATTTAAAATGATTGACAGGCATAATCTTGCATTTTTTTTAACACATCAAAGAAATCGTTACTTATTATTAAAAAACCAGCAAACCCAGCGAACTCCGTTTCGCCATCAGATGGCTTTGTTTTATGTAACATCCTTTGCTATAAACCTCACGGACCTTTCCAACGAATGCAAAACCGTGGAAATCGGTTCTGGAGTTATAGCGTCAGGAAGGAAAAATTCCGACTTATTTTTATATAGTAGGTTAGACCTAACATTATGATAGGAACTTTTGTATGGATCCTGTGCTCCTGGCAGACCACGACCAGTCAAATGTGTGTTAGCTAATTGTTGATTAATGGCTAACGGCTGTACTGAAACGAAACAATTTATGTTATGAATTGGGTAGTTTCCAGGGTATCAAAATTAAAAATCTAATAGTCCGTCAGTTAGATAATTAAAAAATATTAGACACGTATTTTTTAATTTTTCGTATTAAGTTGCAATACTTAGATAAAATGGCGCTAAGTTTAGGAGTGGGAGGTTGTTACGTCATAACGTGATACAAAATGTGGCACGCTGTGACGTCACACGATATTTCAAATTAATATATCGTCCAACGTATTTAATTTTGTGACAAAAGAAAAAATACGTGAGTTTTAAATTAATGTACAAGACGGACATTAAAATAAAATTTAGGAAACTACCCTATTGTCGTGAAATACACAGTCAAGGACATAATTGGTTGTAATTATAAAATCGATTGGTTATTATCAGGCTAGCATCGAATTTGGCAATTATCAAAGTCAAAGTAAAAAAACATATATTTTAATTAGCCCAGAAAGGCATTTTTGAACATTAAACAATTTACATTTGTTTAAAAAACAGTCTAGTCAATTTAAAAATAGTCTATTGGTCAGCAGTCTAGTAAAGGTATTTGCTAATTCCAAAGTGTAGATCCCTATGGAGAAGAACGAGCAAGAAACTCCGTAGG